GGAATATTGGGACACTCTGTATACGCTCTGTAAAGGTCAGCGCAACTCGCAAAGTCATAAATAACCTATTCATTCAACCGTTTCAAAAAATTACAATGGACTGAAACAAGTAATATCTCATTTTACCGCAGAGCCGTTTTTTTTTATTTTGTAAATATCGACAAATCCTCCGATTTACGCAGCTTTTACAGGAATTATTCCCAGAGGTAAAATAAACTCCTCATTGGAAATTCAAACATCTGTTAAAATTAGATTATGGAATTCCGGGAATTTGTAACAAATCCTCGTTCGTTTTTTTTTATTTCGTTCTGCTACCGGGATAGGCTAGTCAGCAGAGCGAAAAATAAAGGTAATACTTTAGTCGCTTGCTTGTCTGTCTCCAAATATACCGTACTGATGATTCCTAAAAAGCATAAGACAACATTGTACACAGCTGGCAACGATCGCAGATACACAAGACCAACAGATCCTGTTGAACCAATAGAAGTTTTAGACTTTAGAAATAGTCTCACCGCCATTAGTCTTACTCTCTAAAAATAGGGAATTATGTAGCCGGAACTTCAAAGTTCCTTTAAAAAAATATATTTGGTTCCTCAGGCTGAACCGGTATTACACTGACTGAGATTGACTGACTCTGGAAAAATGAAACGTAATCATTAGTATTGTAAAAAATTGCTGTTTTTACTGTCCAGATACTATTTTATTACTTAAACACTAATTTATAACACTTGCAACTAATTTATAACAAATGTATTACTAGGATGTCCACCGACTGACTATTTCGAATGTGATTGACTCCGCCATCAGGTCGGGTATTTATTCCCCTATCGACAAGTCGAGAAACATTCCAGCGTTTTCCGGAACTTCCATGGAGGTGTTCTGGAATTTTTTATTTGAAAAAAGAATTAATCATTGGAAACGTTGAACCTCAAGCTTTTTTTTCTCCATAGTCGCCATATCTTCTACGATTTTTTTAGAGGCTCTGTTGAGCGCCTAGATGCTCCGACAACTTCGGAAACGCTATGCCAGGATTACACAATACTGACTGTTTTCACTGTACCCACATTTGCTTGTTTGCTTTCCATTATCTGTCTCCAAATATCTAGACATATACCGTACTGATGATTCCTAAAAAGCATAGGACAACACTGTACACAGTCGGTTACAGTCAACAGACGCGAAAAGCCAACATATCCTGCAGACCAGTCAGTAGATGTTTTTACTTTCCAAATACTAATTTAACACTAACTAAAATTTATAACTAGGTTGACTGGACCATCATTCCCTCTTAACTCCGCGCTAACTATCCACTGACTGACCGTCTCGACTTTGACTGCTCTCGCCATCTGTTCGGGTATTTACTCCCCTATAGACGAGTCGGGAAACATTCCAGCGTTTTCGCGAAAATCCATAGAGGCGGTCTAGATGGCAACAGACGTGTCGATTGCATGTACGCATCATTTCAGTTGCCCAAGAGTCGATCCCACTTCTGACCATTAGTTGTTCTGTAGTAGTTCTAGTTGATGTAAGAGGGTGTCTATCGCTGGTACCCAGAGCTACATTGATACGAGGGCATCGCACTGTAAACCAAATGTGATGAGCTAGCAAAAAGAATCACATTGCAATCATAATATCAGTTCGTAAAGCATATAACGGCGGTCACGTAACTATGGGTTTTTGAGAATTTGTCATATGCGTGAGTAGATTCAGAAACTACACTTTACAAAAGCTACATTTTTACTTGCTTCTCAGGTTCCACTTTTTTGACTTTCAATGGATAGCGCGTAGTTTGAAGGGTAGTTTACATCTAGCGGTTCTTCACATGATTTAGTATAACGGCCAATTAAATTACGCGACCCTTAGTCAAGAAAAACGGTCGTTCTCGTTAGGAATAAATAGCAGTAAACTAATTCACTAGACAAGGGACTTTATTTTAGCTGAACCGCCTCTGCCTGCATCTCCGTCTCTTTAGGGATGGTCAAGCGTACAAGACTACGTTTTATGCTTATTAGAAATCATCATCATAGCACAGGTCTTGTTAATAGTTTATAACATATCATATATAAATTGTTATCGCTTTAAGACATTTCCGATCGCCTAAACATCAATGCCTCGCAACAAGTGAAACAAAGAACTCGTTTATCACCAATTTTTATCTCGTCTTGCGTGAAATCTCGCTCTCGCCTCATAAACTTCAGAATTCCAACTCCATTCCAGAATCCTTCATCCACTCCGGTGAAAAACATCCACATAAAACTTGCCGGAGTTTACGTTGTATCCATAAGCAATGTAGCTCACTGTCTGGCATGGGCAAAAGCGGTTGTTTTGTACTTATGGTACATAAATCAAATTACCATATTGATAGGCTCTGGACGGTGTACGCGCACGTGGACCACCTTGCCGCTTCCATTGACTTTCAACTGAGAAATATTGGCTCGCTATATAACGAAGAACACGCCTTGCATCCCAGCTTTTTCGGAAAAGGGATATTAGCAAGGGCCAATTTCACCAACATTAATATTTAACGGTCCCTTGGACGAATAGGAAAAGACCTTATCCTACCTTATATATTAATATTATGTCTTTAAAGTTCCACGAATAGTCTTATAAAGCATAGTAGAGTATATTTCAACAGTTGACGGAGCGTACTCCACTGGGACCAGGGGGTGGAATGAAATATTAATGCACAATCTGGCAACCATGTCGCACCCTCAAAAAATGGCCGCTGACAACGACACAAGTCACCGTGTTGTCATTGAATAGTATGGAATTAAACCTTCTTCAGTGTACATGTTTTGTGACTGGGACCAGGGGTTGACGGATCCCACACATGTGTCACTCGCTGGGGAGTTTTGAAATGTAATAATCAGCTGTTATTCAAATAAGGTCTAATTATATAACCTAGAATGTGTACTAGTGAAAAAAAGAAAAATATTGCAAATTTCTAGTTTTTTTTCCAGGTTTTAGGTTTGCTCTACGACATATACTTGGGTATTTCTTAATCGCTGTAAATATAGTGTGGATGATTGTTCAGTTCCTGAACAACGAAAAATATTCAACTTATGGATATAAAAAAAACCTAAATGGTTTTGTGGGAATATCAATCTAAGTGCCATAATGGTTCTGATGTAAATGAATGAATGTTTGGAAACGAGCAATATCTATGAAATTTTTGGTAGAGCTTGTCATCAAGGTATTGGTTGCTAAAATTTGTTTATTGGATGTTGAAGCTCATTCGTTGTATTTGACGGACTGTTACCCTATTGGTGAAGAATAATGGACTGTTAATTTGACAACGTTGGTAAAATCCACCCTAAGTGACATAGAAGTACAACCTGAGTGATGATAAATGTATTACAAAAATGTACGTTTGTTTAGGTAAAAAAAACCTTACCTACTATATACCAACCTAAGAAACCGCCACAATTTGATGTATTACTCTAAAGGGAAGTTACAATTACCCCCTAAGTAATGATGGAAAGAACCCTAGACAAATAGTAGTAGATGTCTTATGGGGATTCGGTCTCAAAACTTCCAAAATCCGCCACCAGAGGCGCTGGCGTCGCGCGCCATTGACAGGTTGTTGGACGGAATCTGTATTCATGAGTTGGGGATTCCGCCGCTAGATGGCGCTGTCAAACCAAACGGAATCTGTGTGTCATTGGACACCTGTCATGCGTCATTGGACATCTCACGCATAGATGGCGTTAAAACGTCATCTGTCATACGTCATTGGACACCTGTCATTGATGGGTTGGGCATCTCGCGCATAGATGGCGCCGATTTGTTTGGCGGTGTACAAACCTAACGGAATCTATGTGTTATTGGACACCTGTCATTGATGGGTTGGGCATATCGCGCATAGATGGCGCCGATTTGTTTGGCGCTGTACAAACCAAACGGAATCTATGTGTCATTGGACAGCTGCCATTGATGGGTTGGGCATCTCGCGCATAGATGGCGCCGATGTCGCACCTGTCTGGTGTTGGCGTGGATTACGGGGGGCATTCAGAACGTGTATACAGGGGTGCATCGAAAAATAGCGGATCGATGGACCGACGGTATATCGTTAAATCGTATATAGCAAGGCGTGACCTAAATAGCGTGGTGGGCTCCTCTGGTCGGTCGGTCGGTCGGTCAGAATGTCTCATAACCTGTATACGATGTACTGTTATTATTATACAGGATGATACCGTTCAAAATGAAACTTTATGTAGTAGAATGATGGTGGGGGGTGGGGAGTCGAAGGAACCGAATGTTTTTTTTTTTGTTTGACAACAGGCTGAATACGAAATAAACATAGCTTTCTGAAAAATGTATTTTTTTTTAATGATATACAGATACAAGTTTAGATAACAGAGTTTTTAGTTGATGTAACAAATCCTCGCTGGGGCATGGTACTCCAAATAGAGTCCAATGAAATGGTCCGGTCGCAACAACTTTTCTTGTAAATTCATTAAATTTATAGTAAGTTGCGTGACGGAAAAAGTAAATATGGCCATCAATCCATCGAAATGCGAGAGAAATATCTTCAGGTAATTCAGGAAATATGTCTCTTATCCGTCCTCTGTTCAACACATCAGTAAAATCGTTAGAAAATTCTATATATGACATATTATTATAAAAGGTATAGGACCGTCCTGCGTTTGATTGAAAAATAGCATTGATTCGAGCCCTATCGGGTATATCAATTGAAAAATTATCAAGAAATTTAATGGTAGGGAATGATGCTGAGAAATAGTTGTTTGGAGACACAATGGTAATCAAGTCACCGTTTGTTGATTGGAAAATATGTTGTAAAGTGTATTGACGTAATTCTGTAGGAACATAATCGACAAGAAGTTCAGGCTGAGATGGGATAATCATTTCGTTTAAGTCTAGTTTCCATATAAACATATCATGTGCAATATATAATCGGTAATTTGAAAACTCTGGAGCAATAGCTAAAAACATAAAATCTGGAATAATATCACACAAATTTTTGAGGATCGGCTGCTTACGAGTTGTAGATCTTATAGTTGTTGTTGTTTTTGGTATTGCTGATGCGGTGGTAGACGTTGGGATTGAATCATATTTGTTTTTTCTTCCATATAGATATTGTACTGCATTTATATCATCAACATCTAGACCACGAATCTCATGCTGATAGAAGGCAAACATAATAGCATTCGGAGAAGCACTATGTGCTATGCCGAGGGCATGTCCAATTTCATGAACCAACACCATAAGAAAACTAGTTTGATTTTTGGGTATATTAGGATTATTTCCAAAATACCAGCGTTCATTTATATCTAAATGGATTTCTCTACAGGTGCCGCTAGAGTCAGGAAAGTATGCATGTCCTAAAACGCCGCCAGCATCATCTAATGTCAATGGACATTCATCATTACCCATACAGTTTGCGCTAAAATAATGAGTCTTGCTAACCATGGTTATAGTAATATCAGGAGGATATAGAGTGGGATTGGTAACCATTGTAAATGTTAAGTTTGAAACATTTTGCCACATCTGAAAAGCCATTTCTGCATCTTTTTGGGCCGCAGGTGTGTTTCGAGGGAAATACCATTTCAGGTCATGTTTCCGAAATGGAAAACTTGCTCTAAATTCAGCATCACTGTATTGACAACGCGGACGATTCATAAATTCAATTGTTGCATTATTCAACAATCCATCCACTGGTAAATTATACTTTTCTTGCAAGTTAGTTAGCAAAGTAGAGAGATCTGTTGTATTATCGATGATATGTTCATATTGAGTTAGGTATACTATAGCGTCTTTTTCGGAGAAATCGTTGCAAAGCACGTATGTGAAAGTTGAAATAAAAAATAATACGTCTACCCACATCAACATCTTGATAGAGAATGATGTCAAAAATCTCAGATAGCAAATATAAATTCGTTTACCCCCCCAATCAAAATCTTGACTGAAAAAAAATTAGGCAGCAAATATACAATAATCATACACGAATTTCTATATTTCTAAAATTCTACTCTCATGTGCAACTTGTAATTGGAATTTCCGCCGGACAAACGATACATTCATGTATTACTAAGAAATTATATAAAAAATACTGCAACCGCAATGAATGTTGTTTTCTCGATAAAAATGGTACTGAGAATATGATGAATATAATATGCATATTTACGATACAATTATCTCATGTACGCGTGTGTCATCTCAACTACGTACTTATATTGAGCGAGCGCATGCAGTTTTCTCGATAAAAATGGTACTGAGAATATGATGCATATAATATGCATATTTACGATACAATTATCTCATGCACGCGTGTGTTATCTCAACCACGTATTTATATTTAGCGAGCGCATGCAATAGTCATCATTGTTTCACACTTAACGCACAACGCTGCAAGCTGGAACAACGGCCGCAGTACAATAGTGCTTCGAGAGAGACGAGATAGCGAAAATTTTAAAAAAAGTAAGTGCTATTTTATTTAATATTTTTCTTTTTTATGTCTCTAAGTGCAACTGTTTTTTCGTGTTATGCTTCAAAATAGTTAGACGACTCAATTTTTTTTATAGATGGATTTATCAAAAATTAATGCTGCGTCTTCGATTGTAGACCGCAAACCTATCAGAAAATTAAAGGACCTACCAGTCGGGACACCATTTGCAATCCAAGCAGCTAAAGTGGTCAAGTCGAAATTTGGGGAAGCCGTGCTACTAGATTTAGGACCGGAAGTGCTATTTCTACCACAGCGGGTGACGGAAACGTACCAGCCGGTCATCGACGAACTTTTTCACGGAAAATACTCGATCATCTTCCAAGGGGAAGTGGACGTAGGGAAAAGCCGACCGCTAGCATCATTCAAAATAGTGGAAAATTAACAAAGCAGAGAACAGGAGGAGGAGGACAGGGTGAGCATTTTTATATATTTTTGAGTAATGTGTTTGCTTGAAAAAAAAAATGTCGTCTTTTCAAATGTCTTCAAATAAGGTTAAAAAGATCATCAAACAAACAGACGGTGTTCTACTATCAATTGTTAGTCTACGGAAAATTTTATTTGATAATTTTACAATCAGAGACGCGGAAGTGTGGCTGAAACGAATAGAAAAACAAATTAGATTATGTAAACGGGTAATTCGTAGTAGAAGGCAAAATAAATTATCTGTAGGGACCTGTAGAATAGTAGAAACAAATTTGGGGCATTTTAAACATTTTAGAAAGTTGATTTTAACTAGACATATTGGGGCAGGACTTCACTTAACATTGGGTCAGAGGGTTAGATGGGAAAATGTAGAATCGAGCTTTCAAAGTAGAATAAAAACCGGTTCCATAGCTAATTTGCGTCATAAGGACTTGAATCAATTTTTAGCAGATTGTGTAGTTGTTTTTAAAAGGAAAATTAGGAATATTTTGAACACCCATTGTGCGCTCAAAGTAAATACAACATTTTGCGGGGAGTTTATTAGGAAATCGGGGGATAATGAAATTTTGGGAATTAAATATATTAATACTAAAAATCATATTATTGATACATCAACTCAAATAGACGAGTGGTTTAAGATATATGTGAAAGATAAACTTTTAAACGAATTATCGGAATTTGCTGAAAAAGATTCGGGATTTGCGTTAAATAAAATTATTTCCTTAGTTGTTAATATCAGTAAATATCAATTGGGAAACGGTTCATCTTATATTAGACTACCAGAACCGATTATAAGGAAAAATGCTTGTATAAACATTAAAAATATAGATCAAAATTGCTTTTACTGGGCCATTGTAAGCGCTCTTCGGACTCCTAGCAAAAAAAGACATGCAGAACTAACCTCCTCATATCCACACTTTACTGACGTTTTACAAACAGAAAATTTAGATAGTCCTATGCTGCTAACAAAAATTTCAAAATTTGAAAAGATGAATAACATTTCAGTCAATGTTTACGCTTTAGAATTGATCGAAACAGAAAAAAAATCATTTTACATAGTAGTACCAGCAAGATTAACGGAAAATAAACGGGATACGCATGTTAATTTACTTTTAGCTCAAAATAAATATTATCCGCGTTTAAATGATTATGATGCTCCTCCACCAGCGCCAGCAAATGAAGATAATGATTCAATCGATGAAATTAAATATCACTATTGTTGGATTAAAAATCTTTCGCGTCTTATTAGTAGCCAGTTAAATAAACATCGTGAGAAAAAATTTATTTGCGATAGATGTCTGAACTATTTCCATCAGCAAAATAAATTAGTTGAACATGAAAAACTGTGTTCTAAATTTAATAAATATAAAATTAACCTTCCTAAAGAGAGCTGCGTTGAATTTAAAAACTTTACATACCAACAAAATACTCCTTTTGTTGTTTATGCAGATTTTGAATGTCAATTAGAAAATCATAAAGAAAGTAGCGTCGTAAATTTAACTAAAACCATAAAATATCAAAAACACGTTCCGTATAGTGCTGGTTTCTATGTAAAATGCAGCTATGATGATAGCCTTTCTTATTTCGAGAGCTTTCGAGGTGCAGATTGTATGGATTGGTTTGCAAATCGTATGGCTGGTGTTGCGCAATTTGTAAACTCAAAAATAAAAACAAGCGTACCTATGATTGAAAAATTAGACACATGTAAGGCAACATCATGTCATATTTGCGGTAAGAGATTTTCAAAAACAAAAAAAGACATAATCGTTAGAGATCACAACCATTTCAGTGGAGAGTTCAGAGGTTACGCACACCAAGCATGCAATCTGAACTTTAGAAAATTGTTTGTTGTGCCGGTTATATTCCATAATTTAAGTGGGTACGATAGTCACTTTATGATTTCGAATTTATGTAAAAAAGGTCGCTTAAGTCTACTTCCCATCAACAAAGATAAATACATCTCCTTTACGCTGCACTCAGATGAAAATAACATTAAATTGCGGTTTATAGACTCTTTTCGATTTATGGGGGCGTCTCTTGATGAATTAGCTTCAATTTTAGCAGTATCAGAAAAGAAAATTTTACAAAGGGAATTTCAAAATTTAGATGAAGATAAATTCAAATTATTAACACAGAAAGGAGTTTTCTGTTACGATTACATTGATTCGTTGAAAAAATTAAATGAAACGACTTTGCCCCCAATTGAAAAATTTTACAATAAATTAAACGATGAAAGTGTAAGTGACGAGAAGTATGCTCATGCGCAATCTGTTTGGCAACAGTTTAACATTAAAACATTAGGAGAGTATTCTGATATATATTTAAAAACAGATATTCTGCTTCTTGCCGACGTTTTTGAGCAATTGCGTAAAAAATGTTTCTCCACCTATGGTCTGGATCCTGCGTGGTACTATACAATGCCCGGATATACGTGGGACTGTATGCTCAAATACACTGGGTGTAAGTTAGAACTACTAAAGGATCTAGATATGGTGATGTTTTACGAAAATGCTATAAGAGGTGGAATTTCGGTGTGTAGCAACCGATTTTCGGAGGCCAACAATAAATATATGCCCGAATATGATCCTGAAAAGCCGTCCAAGTACCTTATGTACCTGGATGTGAATAGCTTATATGGGAATGCTATGCAGCAACCCTTACCCTACGGAGGGTTCAAATGGGTAGATGATGTAACATCGTTTGATGTGATGTCAATACCCGACGACTCTGACGTAGGGTACGTGCTACAAGTCGATCTATCGTACCCACAAGAACTGCACGATAAACACAAAGATTTTCCGTTTGCGGCAGAACGTAGCGTACCACCCAGCGACGGCGGGGTAAAATTGCCGAAATTAATGGCAACACTTACGGATAAAAAAGAGTACACGGTTCACTATAAAAATTTAAAACAAATGCTAGCTAATGGGTTAAAGTTAACGAAAATCCATAAAATTTTACAATTTAAACAAGCAGCCTGGCTGAAACCCTACATCGAGTTGAATACTCGATGTAGAGCTGCAGCCCGGAATGATTTCGAAAAAAATCTTTTTAAATTAATGAATAATGCAGTATTCGGTAAGACCATGGAAAATATACGTAAGCACCGCGTATGTAAAATCGTTAAATCTTGGGGTGGTCGCTATGGGGCAGCAAACTTGATTTCGAGTTTTCGGTTCCACAGTCGCACAATTTTAGAGGAAAATCTGGTGGTTATCGAATTGAACAAGGCTGAAATAACGTTTAACAAACCTCTGTATGTAGGGCAGGCAATTCTAGACCTATCGAAACTAGTCATGTACGATTTTCATTACACCTATATGCTACCAAAAATGGGTGCAGAAAGGTGTAAGCTCATGTACATGGACACAGACAGTTTTATCTACGAATTGCAATGTGAGGATGCATATGAGGAGATCATTAAAGCTGATTCCAGTAAATTTGATACTTCGGATTATCCTGAAAATAACATATATAAAATACTGCGTAAGAACAAAAAGGTGCCGGGTCTAATG